GCGGGCGGGGGTAGTGGTGGGGTCGGGTCGCCTGGTGCTGGAGCGGACGAGGGGACCCTGCCCAGTCCAGCTGAGTCGCCGCCCCTGCAGTTGCAGCAGCCGCAGCAGTCGCAGCCTTCGCAGCAGCCGCAGCAGCCGTCGCAGACGCGGCAGACGAGTGTTCTCCCGCCAGGGTGGCCCGGCGCTGGCAGTGGACGGGCGCGTGGTGGTGTGCCGCGTGGTGGCTCTGCCGGCGGGCGTTGTCAGTACCAGATCCAGACCGGTCCTCGCCGCGGCTTCGTTTGCGGTAAGATCGGTCACTCCACTCCCCGCTGCTTTCGTCGCCTGGACGACCTCTTTCGTCAGCGTTTCGGCCCGTCGCCAGACCTCCCGGACTGGCACAGTTTGCTTAGTCGTCAGATTCAGATCTTTGATATGGACATGGATGCCATTGTTTCTGCTCTGCATGTGATGTATGCTGATGACTCTAGTGTGCTTCCGACTTATTACTCACTGTTGCCTAGTGTAGGTGTGCCTAGCTTAGCCTCCCCTGCTGCGTCAGGCGTAGGATCCCCTGCTTTGTGTAGTCTTGGTGCTTCTGCCGTCGTTCCGTCGCCAGACCCCTCGGCTTCACTTTCTTTCACCTTGGACTCTGGCGCCTCTTGGTGTTTCTTTCGCGACTCCACCACCCTGACGCCGCTTCCTGTTCCTGCTGCCGTTTCTCTTGCTGACCCCTCCGGCGGTCCGGTAGTCGCCCGCAGTTCCACCACCCTTCCCTGTCCGGCGGTTCCTTCGGGCTCTCTTACAGGTCTGCATATCCCCTCGTTCTCCAGGAACCTAGTTGGTGTCGGCTGCCTCTAGGACCTTGGCGTCACCACTACGTTCCCTGGTCACGAGCGGTATGCTGTCTGTACCGAGGCCGCCACTGGTGCCCCCCTGTCCACGTTCCCCCGGGACCCGGTGTCCGGCCTGTTCACTCTGGACACCGTGCCCCCCCCGGCTGGAGCGCCCCCTCAGGTGGCTGTGTCTACCCAGGTTGCTGCTGCCTGCTCCTGTCGCTCCCTCACTCACCCGACCCTCCTATGGCACCACCGCCTAGGTCACCCTGCGCTCCCGCGTCTGCGTCACATGTCCCAGCACGGTCTTGTCCTTGGTCTCCCAGGTTCACTCCCCGCGTTTCCCTCCTCCCCAGCTCCACCTTGCACGCCTTGTGTCGAGGGTCGGCTTCGCCGTGCCCCTCACTCCTCCTCGTTCCCCCCTACCGCCGCGCCGCTGCAGACCCTGCACCTGGACGTCTGGGGCCCCGCCCCCGTCCCTGGGCCGCGTCGCGAGCGCTACTTCCTTGTGCTTGTCGACGACTTCACTCGTTACACCACAGTCTTTCCCCTGGAGCGCAAGGCCGACGTGCCTGGCGCCCTCATCCCCTGGCTTGTCTCTGCGCGTGTCCACCGCGGTCTCCCTGTCTTGCGTCTTCACTCAGACCGTGGTGGCGAGTTTGCCTCAGGTGTCCTTGGTCGCTTTTGTCGTGCGGAGGGCATCACCCAGACGTTCACCCTACCGGACTCCCCACAGCAGAATGGGGTCGCTGAGCGACGCATCGGCTTGGTCATGGAGGTCGCTCGCACCTCCATGGTCCATGCCGGTGCACCCCATTTTCTGTGGCCGTTCGCTGTGCGCTACGCTTCTCACCAGCTTATCCTGTGGCCGCACCCTCATCAGCCGCAGGTTTCGCCGACCCGTCTGTGGACTGGGTCTCCTGGTGACGCGTCTGTGTTCCACGTCTGGGGCTGCCTTGCTCACGTCCGTGCCTCCGGCACGGACAAGCTCACTGCCCGCACCCTTCCCTGCGTCTTCCTCGGTTTTCCCCTTGACGCGTCCGACTGGCACTTTTACCACCCGCCGTCTCACCGCTTCTTTCACTCTCGTGACGTCACCTTTGACGAGTCCGTCTCCTACTACCGCCGCTTCCCCCACCGTGGTCCCCCGGTTACGCCCCCCCTGTTCCTGGTCACCCCTTCCCCGGTAGTCCCTGCCCCTCCTCCTCCTCCTCCCCGTCCCGCCCCCTCTGGTGTCTCCCACGTCACCCCCCTTCCGTCCGTGGACCCGGTTGAGGAGTCTTCTGACTCTGGTGGCCCTCCGGTGCAGTCCTCGCCGGCCGCCCCTCCCCAGGTGTCCCCTCCCCAGTCCCCTCCTCCGCCGTCCCTGCCGCCACTGCAGCCGTCGCCGTCGCCGCCGCCGCCGCCGCCGCCGCAGTCGCAGCCCCCGTTCGCTGACTCTGGGGGTGCTCGTCCCGGTCGCCCTGAGGGTGGTCCCTCTGGGGGTGCGGGTGTGGAGAGTGCCGGTGGTAGCCGAGGAGCAGCTTGCGGTCCAGGTGTCGCCGTTGTGCCGCCGCAGCAGCAGTCCCCGCCGGTGTCCGCCCTTCGCCTGCTCGGCCTTCCGTCCCCCGACCCTGCGTCGGTTCCTCCCCGACCGTCTCCTCCTCTTCCTGTCTACGGCCCTGTTTACCCTCCGCCGGACTCGTCCCCGTCCCGTCTCCCCCCTCGTTCCCCTCCTGTGTCCCCTCCCCTGTCTCCTGACCCGACTCCTCCATCGCACGTCTGGTCTCACCGTCCCTCCCGTGCTCGTCCTGCCTCGCCTGTCCTGCGCTCCCACCCTATGTTGCTTCGTTCACACGCGTCTCGTCCTCCCCTTCTGCCGTCGCCTCCTCCGTCCTCCCTTGTTGTTGCGCCCCCCCCGCTGTCCGACTACCTTCGTGCCGCTCGTCCTCTCGTTCCTCGGGTCCTTGCCTCTCTCGTTACCGACCCGTCTGTTCCAGTCTCGTGCCTTGACGCTCTTGTCGCTGCTGTCGCTGACTTCGCCTCTACCCGCCGCCTTGACTACGCCACCGCTCTGGTCTCTGACCCTGCCTGTCCTCCGTCTGTCGGGGGTGCTCCTGCCCTTGGCAGTGACGTCCTGGAGGACCGCCAGTTCGAGCTTGCTTTCCTCTCCGAGGCTGCTCCCCATCTCTGTTCCATGCTGCTAGTCCCTGAGGGTGACCCAGACGCTTTCGACATCCCGACCCCTCGCACTTACGCTGAGGCGACCTCGGGACCCTGGGCCTCGCAGTGGATAGCTGCCATGGAGCAGGAGATGGCATCTTGGAGATCCACCGGCACCTTCGTCGACGCAGTTCCCCCACCTGGGGTGAACGTAGTCGATGGCCGCTGGCTCTTCAAGGTGAAGCGCCCTCCTGGAGAGCCGCCTGTCTTCAAGGCGCGCTATGTGGCTAGAGGCTTCAGTCAGCGCGAGGGGGTGGACTTCTTCCAGACTTTCGCTCCGACCCCGAAGATGACTACTCTTCGGGTTCTGCTACACCTAGCTGCTCAGCGTGACTACGAGCTTCACTCCCTTGACTTCTCCACTGCCTTCCTTCAGGGCAGCCTACACGAGCAGGTCTACCTGCGCCGCCCTCCGGGCTTTACTGGCACCTTCCCTCCTGGGACCCAGTGGCTCCTGCGGCGCCCCGTCTACGGCCTGCGCCAGGCTCCCCGTGAGTGGCACGACACTCTGCGTGCTACGCTTGCTGACCTGCAGTTCTTTCCGTCTTCTGCAGACCCTTCACTCTTCGTTCGTGCTGGCCAGACTCCGTTCTACATCCTCGTTTACGTCGACGACCTGGTCTTTGCCACAGCAGACAGGGACGCGCTGGCCTCCGTGAAGGCAGAGCTGCTGAAGAGACACACCTGCACTGACCTTGGAGAACTGCGCCGTTACCTTGGCTTGCAGATCTCCAGGGACAGAGCTGCGCGCACCATCACCCTGACTCAGTCACACTTGGTGCGCCAGGTCCTTCAGAGGTTCAGCCTTCAGTTCTCCTCTGCACAGCCCACCCCTCTGCCTGTAGACCACAGGCTCTCCGCTCCAGTGCCTGAGGAGTTGGTAGAGCCTAGCGGCCCCTACGCAGAGCTGGTGGGTTGCCTCATGTACCTGATGACTTGCACTCGCCCAGATCTCGCATACCCTCTCAGCATCCTGGCTCGCTTTGTGGCCACAGGCAGACACCGACCGCAGCACTGGTCTGCCGCTAAGAGGGTTCTGCGTTATCTTGCTAGTACATCGGGCATGGGGTTAGTGCTAGGAGGACGCAGGCCAGCGGTCCTTACTGGGCACACAGACGCTTCGTGGGCAGACGACGCTGAGACACTCCGGTCTACCCAGGGCTACTGCTTCAGCCTTGGCTCAGGTGCCGTCTCGTGGAGAGCTACTCGCTCCTCGTCTGTTGCACAGTCCAGCTGTGAGGCTGAGATCTACGCCGGTGCCATGGCGGCACAGGAACTCCGCTGGCTGACCTTCTTGCTCACTGACTTAGGTGAGCGGCCTAGCTCTGCCCCGGTCCTGTTTGCTGAGAACAGGGCCATGATCCTCCTGTGTCAGGAGCCTCGACTCGAGGGCAGAGCGAAGCACATTCAGCTGCGGTACTTCCTCCTGCGTGAGCTACAGCAGCGACGTCAGGCTCGCGTAGTACACTTGGCCTCAGGTGCCAACACGGCTGATATCTTTACGAAGGCGCTTGCGCCTAAAGATCATCAGCGGCACTGTGTACAGCTTGGTCTAGTTCCTGTAGCCTCTCACTTGCTAGGACCTTGACTTTGTACTGTCCTTTATATGTATACTCAGACTGGACTTGTGTCCTCTCCCAGTGGCTGGACTAGTAGTGCCGCCCTGCTCTTGTGCTTGCCTTGTCTGTACTCCTTCTGACCGGTCGCTCAGACCCTTGCCTCAGAGGTTGGACTAGTAGTGCCGCCCTGAGCTGCTTGTTTAGGGTATTCCCCTATGCAGTCTAGGGGGTGTGTCAAACATGTGTATTTGTTATGTTTGTATAGACTGTATAGTCACCTCTTAGAGGATACAAAACTTAGATATATTTGTGTGTACACTCACTTTACGATCATTCAATTATTCTGATAGACAGTACTCTCTATGGCGAGACCCTATGTAGTCTACTAAACATACACAAATATGTTTGACATAGGTATGCGTATCCGTGGGATCACTGATCAGTGCTGGATCTGAGTGAATAGGTGTGCAGCGCATATAAAAGAGTGATGGCCAGTTGATTGGAGGACCAGTACAGACAGTGACGTGACGAGGTGTGGTCGCAAAGGATATCTGGAGCCAGGTCGGTTCAGGCACCCGACATACAGAAACTGTCAAAGGGGGTAAGAGTTGTTCCCGTGTTGTCATACCATGAACAATCTCAGATGCCAGCTCAGATGATATGCATGCAATATCAAATGCTCAACATGGTAGTACCTTAGTAGTACCTACCTAAATCCATAGCATGTACAGTAGTCACCGAATGTGTTCCGGCCATGCAACTGGAGGAGCGCCAATGGCAGGCCATCAATGTCTACTGATCTTGCTTTTCCTTCTCCCCTCCCTCCTCCTCAGTGGTCTCATTATTAGCCAGAGCTACCAAGCAAAGCCCACCACAAATGCACAATGCACCCAAGAACCACCTAGGCTTTAACTCCTCCCCTAGCAGCAGAAGCCCTAACGCACCAGACCACAAAATGCTACAGGAACTGCTTATCATGGTCGCCCCAAGGGACGAGATCCCCTCCATGGACGCGATATAAACATGCCACATTCCCACTGTCAAGGTGATTACACCGCCGTAACAGATTATGGAAACAAACGCGTCCGCGGCATTGTAGGTGTCTAGGAGAGCGATAGGAGATAGGAGAGGGAAGGAGCGCCAGGCACCTGAAAGGCGGGCGAGGATGGGCTTGCAAGCGCCGACGAATCCGGCGAAGATGCAGAGGAAGAGAGAGCGCTGGAGGGATGGTCGAGCCATGAGAGGGTTGACTGAGAGAACGCCAAGACAGGAGGAGGAGAAGCGAGGGCGAGATGATCACGCAGGGATATGGCGATGAGCAGAAGGGAGAAACTGAGAAGAGAACTTGAGCAACCTGATGTCGCAGCAGCGTGGACTTGCGAAGCGGACGCGGTGAATTCCGAGGGGAAATGCCTAAGTACGCTTAGAGAGTTGTCCTCCGAAGGGGAAATCGGGCTAGATTGGGATCGGACTACACTTAATGAGACGGGTCTGATCAAAAGGTCGAGAGGCCGAACACGGAACGGCGCGTCGAAGAAACGGATGGGAAGGCAGCGAAGAAAGTAGAGCGAATGCAGCCTTGTAGTCCTTGTGAGGACGCGTGCAAGACGCAGCGATGGGAATGCTAGTCCTGATCCTTGTCTCCTATTTGACGCAGGTATGGTAGCAGATGCAGTAGTCGGACGCGCCAGGGAGTCTTCGAAACTATTAATAATTTTAGTCAATTGGTTTCCGAGTCTCGACCTGATCCTAGTCTCCATCTTCAGAACCATCTGGGAGTGAAAGGAGGGCATGTTGCGAGCGTCGCAAGCACCGTGCGATGCAGCCGGAAGCTCTCGCGAACCGTCTTCCCAAATCCTGTCTCAAAATTAATTAAGCCAAATATACAGCCGCAACTTGTCCCTTTTATACCTCACAAATACCGAGAGCCCTTACAGCGCGTTCAATTTGGCTTACTCATCAGCCAAAACTTCCGCCACCAAGCTTCTTCTGGCCCAACTTCGCGACACCTGCGAAGCCTGGCGTGAAATTCGCCATTTTCGTGCGGAGCTCGCCATGGCGGCCGCCGTGCGCCAGATGCGGTATCGCTCTCGCGAAGCAGCCTTCGGTTTGCACCGATTAGCTTGGATCCTCCCGCCTGCTCGCTCATACACCACTGTAACCTCTCCCACCTCCCCGCACACCCTCCGTTCGTCCCCCACCGTCCGCCGGTCCCCCACTTCTTCCGCCATACTTGCGCCACGCTCCCTCGCGCCCGCCTTGTGCGCCGCTCGTTCCGCCTCCGTCCCGCAACTCGCGCCGCAGTTTTCGCCGCAATTTCCGCCGCCGTCGAAACCACTTCCCGCATCGTTCGCATTCGCCGCCATCTCTCCCCCGCCTCTACCGCCTCTTCCGCCTCCCCCGTCGTCTCAATCCCTTCCGCCGATCCGCAACCGCGGGGGCCGGGGGGGCAAGGAAGGCGGATGGGGGGGAGATCGCTGGGGAAGCCGGAGAGCGTCGTGGGCGGGCGCTGGCGGAGCGATTGCTGCGGGATTGGCCGGAGCAGTGGGGGTAGCTTGGGGGGAGGCGCGGAGCGGGAAGGGCGGGCGGAAGAACGGAGATGAGGGGACGCGGGAGGGGGCGAAGGTGCGAGAAGGGGAAGGGAGGGAGGGGGGAGGAGAGGGGGAGGAGGAGGAAGGGGAGATGGTGTCCAATTGGAGCGGCACTCACGAGGTTCGGGCTGCTGTGGTGTACCGGCCAGAGTCCATGCAGGTATGTATGCACCCCTCCTCGTCCCTCCCACCAGGACCTGGAGCGGCTGGTGAAGTCAGCCCACGCTGAGGGGCGCACCATCCGCCCCATTGGCGCCGGCAGCATCTCCCCTAAGCCCCCACGGCATTCCCCTAACGGCATTGCCCTAAGCCCCCACGGCATGGGAAAAATGTTGAGAAAATGTTAAAGAAACCTTACTCTCATAGATAAAATGTTACAGACTTGCAAAAGAACACCTTTCCTCCGTATGTCCTCCCCTCTCCGCCCTCCCCCCCCACCTCCAGTGCCCATCTCCCTTTCAACAGGACCTGGAGCGCCTTGTGCAGTCAGCCCACCGGAGTGGGCGCACCATCCGCCCCATCGGCAGCAGCATCTCCCCCTCCAACGGCATCGCCCTGAACCCCCACGGCATGGTGAACCTCGCCCCCTCATGGACCGAGTGCTTCAGACGCCCAACGAATCTCCTCCTGTCTTCCTCTCCCTTCTCAACAGGACTTGGAGCGCCTTGTGCAGTCAGCCCACAGGAGTGGGCGCACCATTCGCCCCATCGGCAGTGGCATCTCGCCCAACGGCATCGCCCTGAACCCCCACGGCATGGTGAACCTCGCCCTCATGGACCGAGTGCTGCATGTGGATAAGGCGACCGGGAGAGTGAGAGTGCAGGCGGGGGCGAGGGTGGAGCAGGTGGTGGACGCTCTAAGGCCCTATGGGCTCACGCTGCAAAATTACGCATCTGTTCGAGAGCAGCAGATAGGCGGGTTCATTCAGGTGAGCTCACACGGTCCGCCGTGCCCTCATGGACCGACTGGTGCATGTGGATCAGGGCACGGGGAGGGAGGGGGTGAGAGTTCAGGCAGGGGCGAGGGTGGAGCAGGTGGTGGAGGCACTAAGACCTCACGGGCTGACTCTGCAGAACTACGCTTCTGTCAGGGAGCAGCAGATAGGCGGGTTGATTCAGGTGAGCCGTGGGTTCCCTCAATTGCCAATGGGGAGGGGGTGAGAGAGGGCAGGCGGGGGCGAGGGTGGAGCAGGTGGTGGAGGCGCTGAGCCCAACTAAGGGACAAACTCACCCAGCAGACCGATGCGTCTGTCAGAGAGCAGCCGATAGGCGGGTTCATTCAGGTGAGCTCTCAATAGCTTATGAAGTGGTTTAGAGTGCAGAGAGGGGCGAGGATGGAGGTGGAGCAAGTTTTTGGGGCGCCTCAAGAACAGCAGATAGGGGGCTTTATTCAGGTGAGCTCTCAATAGCTTATGAAGTGGTTTAGAGTGCAGAGGGGGGCGAGGATGGAGGTGGAGCGAGTGGTGGAGGCTTTAAGGCCCTTTGGGTTCAGTCACTTGTCAATGGTGAGGCAACAGGTGGGAGGCACAGGATCCCTTGAACGGGTTTAGGGATCAGGGTTTCGGGTTGAGCATCCCTCCAGTGGCCTAGCTGTGTCAATCTAGCTTATTTGTTGCATCCGTTACACCCCCCTGTGCTCCACACCGAGTACTGCCCTCCCCCCTCCATTCTCTGTCAAACTCCCCCTCCTGCCACCTAGGTACAAGGGCCAGCATCCCCCCAGTGGACGAGCAAGTGGTGCCCAACCCATTGAGCTCGTGACATCTGGCAGGGAAATTAGTGTGGCCGTCTTCCCTTACACACCCACCTCTCCCATCTTCCACCCCAGGTGGGAGCACACGGCACAGGGGCTAGTATCCCTCCAGTGGACGAGCAAGTGGTGGCCATTAAGCTCGTGACACCTGGCAGGGGCACGCTGCACCTGACGCCCGAAGCTGACCCGGACCTGTTCTACCTGGCTCGGTGTGGGCTCGGAGCGCTGGGGGTGGTTGGGGAGGTGGAGCTGCAGGCAGTGCCGGCTCACAGGCTCAGAGAGGAGACGTTCGTCACTGATAAGGAGGAGATCAAGAGGAACCACTGGTGAGCAAGTGCGTGGGTGGGGAGATCGGGGGTGTGGGGCGGGGAAGCAGTGCAAACACGCTGAGGGTGGTTGGGGAGGTGGTGCTGCAGGCAGTGCCGGCGCACAGGCTGAGGGAAGAGACGTTTGTGACTGATGTGACGGAAATCAAGAGGAGTCATAGGTGTGGGAGGGGAATGTGTGTCTAGGAGAGGGGGGGGGGAAGGGTAGTGCCTCAGCACAAGCGCTGGAGTTGGTCGGCGAGGTGGTGCTGCAGGCAGTGCCGGCCCACAGGCTGAGCGAAGAGACGTTTGTGTGCAAACAACCACGGGCAGTCGTAAGCTAGAGTGCAAATAACCAGTGTGGTTTCGTAGTGGGTTTCAGAGTGGGTTTCAGTGCAATATCGCGCGCGGTTTTTAAAAAATCGCAAATCGCATTTAAATCTCGTTTTTAAAGCGCGATTTAAATGCGATTTAAATTAAATCGCGAGATATTAATTCATCGCATCGCGCGATGATTAAAAAAAAAAAAAACATCGCCATCGCAAAAACGCGATTAAATGCGATGTGATGCGATGCGATGCGATTTTTTTTGCCCATGTCTACTCACGCCCCCTCCTTCTCTCATCTTATTCTCCCCCCGTCCCCAGCCAGTGGTTGCATCAGTACCAGCACATCTGGTACATGTGGGTACCGCACACACAGGCCGTGGTGGTGGTGAGGAGCAACCCAGTCAAGGGGAGTCAACGCAGGGGAGTCAACACACACCTTTGTGGGACTATTCCATCCTCAATATCCAATATTCTTGCTCTCCTCCTTTCCTCCAGTCACAGGCTGCAGCAGTACCAGCACATCCGCTACATGTGGATCCCACACACACAGGCAGTGGTGGTGCTGAGCAACCCAGTCAAGGCGAGGCAACAAACACCTTTGTTTCTGTCTTCCTGTCTCTCCTCCCTCCCGTCTTCAGCCAGTGGTTGCGTGACTACCAGCAAATTCGGTACATGTGGATACCGCACACACAGGCAGCAGTTGTGGTGAGAGAGGGGGCAGTGAACCTATGCACTTACGCCTCTTCCTACTCCCATCTCAATGTCCCCCCCGTCCCCAGCCAGTGGTTGCAGCAGTACCAGCACATCCGCTATATGTGGATACCGCACACACAGGCAGTGGTGGTGGTGAGGAGCAACCCAGTCAAGGACGCCAGGGAAGCATCGGCAGTGCAAAGGGGCTCAGCGGAGGAAAGGGCGCAAGGAGAGGGGCGCGCTAGCAGCCCGTCATTGAGTGAGGAGGAGAAGTTGGCACATGTGCGAGCGCTGTACCTGGCGTCCGTTGCTGCGAGGAGAAGGTGAGTTAAGGGATGGGTCTTCGTATAATAAGGCTGTGCAGATGGTTGAGGTGAGGAAGAGAAGTTGGTTTTTGTGGGAGTGCTGTACCTGGCGTCAGTTGCTGGTAGGATGAGTTGAGCTGGCCAGGACAGCTGCTTATCATGTGAAAAAAAGGTACAAGGAGAAAAGTGGGTGGGCGTGGGGGCGGGCCAGAATTGAGTGCAGAAGAGGAATTGGCTCACATGGGGCGAGCACTCCACCTGGCATCAGTAGCTGCTAGGAGGAGGTGGGTTTGCGAATGATATCGGCTTATGTGCTAGGTGTTCTGAGCCGTCTTAAAGTTTGTTGAGTTATCTGACCTGTAGCAATTCACCTACAGCCTTCCCTCCCCCATCCCAGGTTCCAGGTGCTAGTTCGTTCTGGACTCTCGACTTGAAATGAAACCTTGGAATAGCGGTGACATGGCAGCACCTTCAGCTAATTCATGCAACTGCTGATCTTTCCTCTCCGTTTCTCTCCCCTCCCCTCCCTCCCCATTCCCTCTTCTACCCTCTTTGCTCCTCTCCCCTCCAGCTCCAAGCCTTCTCAATCCCAGCCCCCCCCCGAACCTACATATACCACCGAAGTAGCAGCTGGCATGTGGTCCGGCACAGGTTCGGCCGAGCCTGTGCCAAGCCAACGCTTCTTAACCGAAGCTGAGGTTCGGGGGCTGTCTTTCACGAGGCTAAGGGACGAGCTGCTGGCGCTAGATCCGTTGAATCTGGACCATGTGAGGGCGATCAACCAAGCAGAGGCACTCTACTGGAAGCTCAGCCAAGGGGAGAGGTGAGTACTATGTGTGGGAGGGGAGGGGGGGGAACGATGGGATTATTGTGGAGAGGCAAGCTGCTACAGCTAGATCCATTGAATCTGGACCATGTGGGGGCAATCAACCAGGCAGGGGCTCTGTAATGGAAGCTCAGTGAAGGGGAGAGGTGAGTGCTGTGTCTGGAGCATGCTTGTGCACATGTGCATCTGAGCTGCTGGCGCTAGATCCATTGAATGTGGACCATGTGGGGGCCATCAACCAGGCAGGGGCTCTGCACTGGAAGCTTACTGAAGGGGAGAGGTGAGTGCTGTGTGCGTGTGAGGTGGGGGGGACAGTGAGAACTTTGTGTGGATGCGACCTGCTAGCGCTAGATCCGTTGAATCTGGACCATGTGCAGGTGATCAACCAGGCAAAGGCTTTGCACTGGAAACTCAGCCAGGGGAAGAGGTGAGTGCTATGTGCATGCGAGGGGAGGGGGACATTGAGAGCTGTGTGTGGCTGCTATGCAAGGCGCTGGCTCTAGATCCACTGGATCCTGGACAGTCAACCAGGCCAAGCCGCTGTTCTGGAAGTGTAGTGAAGGGGAGAGGTGAGAGAGAGAGAGTGTGTGTGTGTGTGTGTATGTGTGTGTGTGTGTGTGTGTGTGTGTGTGTGTGTGTGTGTGTGTGTGTGTGTGTGTGTGTGTGTGTGTGTGTGCGTCTCTCTATGCATGTGCACGTGTCTCCGAGATTGTCCCCAATACGGAACGAGAAGCAGAGCAGAAGAAATAAAGCTACAGTCTTTTCCATTCCCATTTGCAGTGCAGGGACGGATGGAGCGGAGAGATTCTGGGCTTGAGAGATCCACCACCACTTTGTCCATCTTCTCTTCGTTCGCTCTTGCAGGGAAGGGTGGAGCGACGAGATTCTGGGCTTTGACTGTGGGGGCCAGCAGTGGGTGTCAGAAGTATGCTTCAAGGCAAACCAGGCACCTACTGGTACACACACCGATGGCAGCGACATCACCGACACTAGCAGCAGCGCTGCCACGAGCAGCAGCAGCACCAGCAGCCGCAGCAGCGGCGGCGGCAGCAGCAGCAGCAGCAGCGCAGCGGACATTGCATTTATGGAGGAGCTGCTGGCGGTGATAGAATCAGAGGGTATCCCCGCCCCGGCTCCCATAGAGCAGCGCTGGACCAGTGGTAGCCGCAGCCCCATGAGCCCCACCACCGGTGCTTATAACGCTGCTAATGCCGCCATTGCTGCTGCCGGTCCGGCAGCAGGTTTGGCAGCTGCAGGTTCGGTGGCTGCTGGTTTGGCAGCAGAGGGAAGAGCGGCGCCTGATGATGTTTACTCATGGGTAAGTGGAGGAGAAGGTGCTGACGTCGTTTGTGTGTATGCTGATATGCCATACTGCCCTTACCCCCTCATTTGAAACATTGTCCACGACCAGCCAATTCACCAATTTCATCATCACTCCTATCGTTCTCTATTGGCGTTGTCATCACAGCCATTCGTCACCATACCCCAGCATGCACCTTACCCCAGCATGCACCGTACCCCAGCATGCACCATACCCCAGCATGCACCATACCCCAGCTGCACCATACCTCAGGATGCACCGTACCCCAGCATGCACCATACCCCAGCATGCACCATACCCCAGCGTGCAGCATACCCCAGCATGCACCATACCCCAGCATGCACCGTACCGCAGCATGCACCATACGCCAGCATGCACCATACCGCAGCATGTACCATACCTCAGCATGCACCATACCCCAGCATGCACCATACCCCAGCATGCACCATACCCCAGCATGCACCGTACCCCAGCATGCACCGTACCCCATCATGCACCATACCCCAGCATGCACCATACCCCAGCATGCACCGTACCCCATCATGCACCATACCCCAGCATGCACCATACCTCAGCATGCAACGTACCCCAGCATGCACCATACCTCAGCATGCACCGTACCCCACATATCCCATCTCCATTGTAACCTTTGCCAGCATGCCCGTCAACATCGTCATATATTTCTGTCATCGATACGTCATCCCTTTACAATCACATGCAGGTGGGCATAATCACGTACCTTCCATCCAATGACCCTGGAGAGTCTATTTTTGAGGCGCTTACAAAAATCCATGTGTGAGGAGGAGCCTATTGTTGAGGCGCCTCAAACATCGACACTTCATCCCATTACCATCACGTGCAGGTGGGCATAATCATGTATCTTCCATCCAACGACCCTGATCAGCGGGCAGCCATCACCAAACATTTCCTCGACTACAAGTTTCTGACTGCCCGGAGGCTCTGGGACAAATATGGGGCGCACGAGCACTGGGCGAAGATTGAGGTATGATGGTTAATATAAGAGGGCAAAGAATGTGTAACTATACTCGGAAACAATAACAAAAGGTTGGAGTTGGAGAGCGTAATTGGAGGGACTTGGATAGCTGTTGTTGCTTGCGTCTGCTTCCTCATTCCCATTCTCGCTTTGCCCAGCCTGCCTGCCCGTTCCTCATATTTTGTTTTTATTTTATATCCGTTTTCTTTCTCCCTCCTACACCCAATCCCACAGATCCCCTCGAACGCCGGCACTCGTGAGTGGCTTGTGTCCCGCGTGGCTCGCGATTGTTCGGTGGGCAAGTTCAACGAGTATCGAAGAAAGCTGGATCCGAGGAATGTGCTGGCCAATGAGATGCTGGACGTGTTGTTTCCCCGTTGATCACAACAACTGAGAAGAATCCGTGACAGGCATTTGGGTCCACACCACATTCATGTCATTCTCTCCATTTTTCTCTGATCATCATAGTGCATTCATGCTGTTTAAGACCTAAAGCATAATTTCAAACCTCATGGTGAGTCAACCGGAAGGGGGGTAAGGATCTTGTTAGTGGTAATAGCATTCCTTCACCTCTTGTTAACTGTACGATCCGATCGACGTGAGAACATCCTCTTGCGGAGATGCCCGAGGTGCGAATAATCAGCTCTCTTTCAGAACAGGCACAAACGCGAACCAGATCGAGGCAACCCTTAAGGGCCACTACTAGCAATCCTCCAGTACCACTAGGCTATGCCTTCCTTATTGAAGAGTTCTTCGCCATAAATTGGCCATAAGGCGGCAGCCAATAGCGCGAATTGCTCTGTGAGGGTACAACTCTCACAACCTGCTCACGAACAGAAGACTGATTCCGGAAGACTTAGTTGGTGTGGTCTAGGGTTGACTGCGGGGCAGTCGCTACACGTTCGCCGCGGGCGAATAGCTTCCAGGTTGCGGGTAGACTGCTCCCGCGGGCGCGGCATTGGCGGCGTATTTCTCCTCGGCGAGCGCGCGGTTGCGGCGAAGGATGAGAAAGACGCCCAGGAGAATCAACAGGGTAACCAGAGGGACTGTGAGGCCGACCACCACGCGCGGCCAGCAGTTGGGGACGCCTGCCGCGGGAAAGGACGAAAGCGAGTTTTGAGACGTTTTGATGTCAAAAAACGACCAGGAAAATCAGTAGGGAAATCCGAGAGAGTCCGATAACCGCTACAAGGAAAAGTTGCGGAGTGACAGAAACGGATCTCAGTAGGAGCAGTTGCAGAGCATGCAACGCGGCGGCGTACTGCCGCGTTCGAATGGTCTTCGTAGGGCTTCTTGGTGGAATAGAAAGGGGACCCGGACTTACAGCCTAAGAGCACGGAGCTTCTACTATAGTCGAAGCTGGCTATGCACAGGGTCTGTGCGCTTGCAGCATTGCAAGCCTGTGGGGGAAAATGGGAGGAGACGATCATGGTTGGCGAGGGAGGGAAATTTGAATACGATTCAGCTTTGAGGGCGACATCACCAAAAAGTGATTGTCCCGAAAGTGTCCTGAAATTAAGCGGTCCGGAAACTGTCCAAAACCCATTCCGGAAGCAGCCTGGAAACAAACCCCATTCCCTCCAAATTCCCACCCTCCAAACTACCTTCCGAAAAGTGGCCGCCACCTGTCCCGAACCAATCCAAGCGCGGAGGAGGTTGGGCCATTTTCGGGACAGATTAGGCTAGGGAGAGCTGCCCAGGGCTGGTTTCGTTTGATCGGACGGCTGAAAATCCAATTTTCTTGTCAAAATTCAGTTCACCGTTGATTCAAACATTTTGGGTTAAATGCCATCAGATCAGCTTGGCAATGATCGGACGGTCCAGAAACCAAGACTCGATTATGGAACGTGTTTTCACGAAACGGTATATTTCGCCAAGCTACGAAACAACCTGGCGTACCCAAGCCACAACCCAAACTTATCCACACCACAAATCGGAACCCAAACTTCTTATATACTGCCACGTCAACTACCCAAACCTCGCCCCTCCAAACCTAACCAAACCAAACCCATCCCTTCCTGCCTTCACCTTCACCCCCCTACTCCCACCTTCATTTCTTACTTGCAACTCGACTATTCAGATCTTAGCTTAGCTTGTTCGTCATTACCGTCATTACTCCCAATACCGCTTCTACCGCCTTTTTTCACATATTCGTTTTATAAAACGCCATTCCTGAAGTAGGTGTGCCATATCATGGAGTCGCAGGCCTTTCAACGTCCTAGCTTATTGTTTCCCTTATTTACTTTTCCTTGTTTGTTCCGCACAGGCCCACTATTGCGCTTCGGCCTATTTCTACCATCACGCGGCTGCATTCGTCGATGTAAGACCTTGCAAGTGATTCTTTATTTTTCCAACGCCGCAACCGCGTGATTCTTTACTGTCGTGTTGTCTTAGGTAGCTTTCGCGCATGATGCTCTGTCGGCAAGCGAATTCGCAGTCGTCTTTAACGCTACGCTAGCGCAAATGTATGCAGGGTTAATCTTTGGGCAATGTCGATTCGACAACTACGCGTCTGCATTTATTTTGAAGGCGTGTGTGTTAAAGTAAGAACTGAAAAGATGATTAGAAGAAGAAACCTAGAACAAATACAAGTTGGTTGTACTCACTAGAAGCATACCCCAATCTAGCCTATAACTTCTACATAGCTAATATGTATAAGTTGACACACCCCCTAGGCTAGACAAGGGGTGAAGCTAAGCAAGAAGCAAACAGCTCAGGGTGGCACTACTAGTCCAACCACTGAGGCAAGGGTCTGGAGACCAGTCAGCAAGAGTACAAACAAGACTAAAGCAAGCCAGGGCGGCACTACTAGTCCGACCACTGGAGGTGAGGCCACAAGGCCAGTGTGACCGGAAAATATAATAGAGAGTACACAATCAGGATCCTAACAGGTGAGTAGCTACAGGAACAAGACCAAACTGTACACAGTGCCGCTGATGGTCTCTAGGCGCAAGTGCCTTAGTAAAGATATCAGCTGTGTTGGCACCTGAGGTCAAGTGAACTACGCGGGCCTGGCGGCGCTGCTGTAGCTCGCGCAGGAGGAAGTACCGCACCTGGATATGCTTCGCTCTGCCCTCAAGCCGAGGCTCCTGACACAGGAGTATCATGGCCCTGTTGTCAGCGTACAGAACCGGGGCAGAGCTAAGCCGCTCACCTAAGTCTGTGAGCAAGAAGGTCAGCCAGCGGAGCTCCTGTGCCGCCATGGCACCAGCGTAGATCTCAGCCTCACAGCTGGACTGAGCCACAGACGACGAGCGAGTGGACCTCCAAGAGATAGCACTCGAACCAAGACTAAAACAGTAGCCCTGCGACGACCTGAGCGTCTCAGAATCGTCTGCCCAAGAAGCGTCTGTGTGCCCAGTAAGGACCACTGGCCTGCGTCCTCCTAGCACTAACCCCATGCCCGATGTACTAGCAAGATAACGCAAAACCCTCTTAGCGGCAGACCAGTGCTGAGGTCGGTGTCTGCCTGTAGCCACAAAGCGAGCCAGGATGCTGAGAGGGTATGCGAGATCTGGGCGAGTGCAAGTCATCAGGTACATGAGGCAACCCACCAACTCTGCGTAGGGGCCACTGGGCTCTACTGGCTCCTCAGGAACGGGAGCGGAGAGCCCATGGTCTACAGGTAGAGGTGTGGGCTGTGCGGAGGAGAACTGAAGACCGAACCTCTAAAGGACCTGACGCACCAAGTGTGACTGTGTCAGAGTGATGGTGCGTGCTGCTCTGTCCCTAGAGATCTGCAGGCCAAGATAGCGACGCAGCTCTCCAAGGTCAGTGCAGGTGTGTCTCTTCAGCAGCTCGGCCTTCACAGAGGCCAGTGCGTCCCTGTCAGTAGTAGCGAAGACCAGGTCGTCTACGTAGACAAGGATGTAGAACGGAGTCTTGCCGGAACGCACAAACAGTGAAGGGTCAGCAGAGGACGGAAAGAACTGCAGGTCTGCTAACGTGGCACGCAGCGTGTCGTGCCACTCGCAGGGATCCTGACGCAGGCCGTAGACCGGGCGCCTGAGAAGCCACTGGGTCCCAAGGGTGAAGGTACCAGTGAAGCCCTGTGGTCGGCGCAGGTAGACCTGCTCGTGTAGGCTGCCCTGAAGAAAGGCAGTAAAGAAGTCGAGGGAGTGAAGCTCGTAGTCGAGCTGTACTGCTACGTGTAGCAGCGCCCGAAGAGTGGTCATCTTCGGGGTCGGGGCGAAGGTCTGGAAGAAGTCAACCCCCTCACGCTGACTGAAACCTCTGGCCACGTAGCGCGCCTTGAAGACAGGCGGCTCTCCTGGGGGGCGCTTCACCTTGAAGAGCCACCGACCATTGACTACGTTCACCCCAGGTGGGGGAACTGCGTCGACGTAAGTGACGGTGGACCTCCAAGATGCCATCTCCTGCTCCATGGCAGCTATCCACTGAGAGGCCCAAAGTCCCGAGGTGGCCTTAGCGTAGGTGCGAGGGGTCGGGATGTCGAAGGCGTCTGGGTCACCCTCAGGGACTAACAGCATGGAGCAGAGATGGGGAGCAACCTCGGAAAGGAAAGCAAGCTCGTACTGCCTGTCCTCTAGGACGTCACTGCCAAGGGCAGGAGCACCCCCGACGGACGGAGGACGGGCAGGGTCAGAGACCAGAGCGGTAGCGTAGTCAAGGCGGCGGGTAGAGGCGAAGTCAGCGACAGCAGCGACAAGCGCGTCAAGGCGCGAGACAGGAACAGAAGGACAGGGTCGGTAACAAGAGAGGCAAGGACCTAAGGGACAAGGGGACTAGCGGCACGGAGGTAGTCAGAGAACGGAGGAGGTGCAACAGCAAGGGACGAGGGAGGAGGGGACGGGAGGAGGGGAGGACGAGACGAGTGGGAACGGAGCAACATAGGGTGGGAGCACAGGACAGGCGAGACGGGACGAGCACGGGAGGGACGGCGAGACCAAACGTGGGACGGAGGGGTAGGGTCACGGGACAGCAGAGGGGACACAGGAGGGGAACGAGGAGGAAGAGGGGCCGGAGACGAGTCCGGTGGCGGGAACACAGGACCGTAGACAGGAAGGTCAGCAGGCGGTGGGGGAGACACCAGCGAGCGGTTCGGGGAGGGAAGGCCGAGCAGGCGGAGAGCGGAGACCGGTGGCGACGGCTGCTGCGGCTGCTGCGACGGCTGGGCCGGAACCCTCGGATCGGCAGAGGGAGGACGACCGTCGGTGGAACCCTCAACAGCAGCACCCCCTGAACCAACACCCCCAGAGCGAGAACCCCCTCCAACACCAGCGGCACCCCCAGGAGCCGAAGGACGAACACCCGCCTCCACACAAGCACCCCCAGGGGCCAAGAGCGGCGGCGATGTCAGCGGCGGCGGCAGCGGCGGCGACGGCGGCAGCGGCGGCGACGGCGGCAGCGGCTGCGGCGGAGGCGGCGACTACGACAGCGGAGGCGAAGACACCGGGGAAGAGGGACGCGGCAAGGACGGGCCGAGGGTACCACCAGAGTCAGCGGACTCCTCAACGGGGACAACCGACGGGAGGGGAGTGACGTGAGAGACACCAGACGGGGCAGGGCGAGGCGGGAGAGGAGCAGGGGCTACCGGGGGAGAGGGAGCAAGGAACAGGGGCGGGGCAACCGGGAGACCTCGGTGAGGGAAGCGGCGGTAGAAGGAGACAGACTCGTCAAAGGTGACGTCACGAGAGTGGAGGAAGCAGTGAGACGGCGGGTGGTAGAAAAGCCAGTCAGACGAGTCCAGGGGGGAACCGAGGAAGACACAGGGGATAGTGCGGGCAGTGGGCTTGTCCGTGCCAGAGGCACGAACGTGAGCAAGGCAGCCCCAGACGTGGAACGCAGACGTGTCACCGGGGGACCCGGTCCAAAGGAGGGTCGGCGAAACCTGCGGCCGCTGGGAGCATGGCTACAGGTAAAGCTTGTGAGCAGCGTAGCGAACAGTGAACGGCCACAGAAAATGGGGGGCATCGGAATGAATCATGAAGGTACGGGCGACCTCCATGACCAAGCCGATGCGGCGCTCAGCAATCCCATTCTGCTGTGGTTTGTCCGGCAAGGTGTACGACTGGGTGATGCCCTCCGTACGACAGAATGGTCCAAACCGACCAGAGGCGAACTCGCCGCCACGGTCAGAGTGGAGACACAACACGGGGAGACCGCGGTGAAGACGCGCAGCCACAACCCACGGGAGAAGAACGTCGGGCACGTCGGCCTTCCGCTCCAGGGGAAACACCGTGGTGTAGCGCGTGTAGTCGTCGACGAGCACAAGGAAGTAGCGCTCACCTCGTGATCCGGGGACGGGGGCAGGGCCCCAAACGTCCAGGTGCAGGGTCTGAAGGGGGGCAGTAGCAGGGCGCAGCGAGGAGGAGTGAGGAGCACGGCGGAGCCGGCCCTCGACACAAGGCGTGCACGGTGGCGCAGTCGAGGGAGGAAGGGCAGGGAGCAACGCGGGGAGACCTAAGACAAGACCGTGCTAGGACA